TTACATATTAGGACTATTTTTCATTGTAACCCTCATTCATGAACAAAATACGTTAACGACTATGTCTCTTCCAATTCATAAACGATTTGAGATCATATTCTTGTCAAAGCACAAATACGGACCACGCTTTGGTGTTAAGAAGATTGCCGCCATCGTAAAATGTTCGACCAGGACAATGAAAAAATGGCTTAAAATATGGGAAAGTGATAAATCCTTATCTGACAAGGTGAAACCTGGTCACCCACGTGCAACTATAGAAGCCGAAGACAATATAATTGAGAACGTGGCGAATGCTGTAGATGAAGTGATTATGAATGATATGCATGAAACCTTACAAAAACAACATATCAATGTCACTGAGCGAACATTGCGTCGCCGTCTCAAAGAAAGAGGTTTCCGCTACATGATGCCATTGTCCGAACCTCTTTTAACACGTAAACATCGAAAACAACGGGGTGTGGGTGTGGGTGGCGTGTGGGTGTGGGTGTCGGTGTGGGTGTGGGTGGGTGTGTGTGTAGGGTGTAGGGTGTGGATGTGGGGTGTAGGTGTGAGTGGGTGGATGTGGGTGTGAGCGTCGGTGTGGATGTGGGGTATAGGGTGTGGCTGTGGTGTGTAGGTGTGGGTGTGGATGTCGGGTGTGGGTGTGGGTGAAACCTCACACCCACACCCACCCACGCACACCCAAAAGACGAGAAATTTATGATTTTCCATCATTTGTTTAAATGTTAATAGCTATATAAAAAGTTGATGCATAAGTCAGCTTTAATTTGATTAATATTAAAAATTTATTTGAATATAATATTTCGATTAACTTCATTAGATATTCCAATAATTGTTTACGGTGGAGAACAAGAAGAAAATGATAAAGAACCATTTTAAAATAGATTATCTACTATTTATTATAAAAAAAACAAATCTGATAAATTTTATATTTAAATTGAAAGAATTAAGAACGATAAAAGATTTATTTCGTCTTCGAATGTATTTATGGACATGAGAATATCAATATAAACTATTAGAATCTCTTAAACAAGATTTAAATAAAATTATCAATAATTAAAAAATAATAATAATAATAATAATAAATTATTTTCTTTTTTTCTAAAGATGAACGAAATATTCAATATGAATTTGTCTTATTATTCACACAAAGATAAAAAAGAAAATATAAAAAAATTGATTATTTTTTATTTTTATTTATTAAACAAAGACCGAAATGAATCCAAGTAAAATTGATCAATATGAAAACTAGTTTCCGTGAATAATAACTCAATTAAAGTTAATTGATAAAAATCATTTGTATATAAATTTATTTTTCTATTAAATAAATATAATATTTTATTCATAAAATAACCTATTTATTTCATATATCGTACAAAAATAGGTTTTTTTTTCATAATCAAATTATTTTTTATATTTTCAGAATCATAATGATAAATAAATTATTTCTATTTTCAAATTATTAAATAAATTTATTAATAATAAATAATTAAAAAAAATACTTTAAAAAGAATCGATGAAAATATTATAATTAGTTTGTCATATTTTATTAAACAAAAATAGTTAATAGTCTTATATTTTTCATAGAAACAAATATAATTATTTATTTTTATAAAACAAAATAAAATAATAATGAAGACGAAGAATAACTATAATTAAACTGTTTAGGAAAGAGATTGAATAGAAAAAACGAATTTTTGAATAAAATTTAGAAAATTGATGAAAAAAAAATTCATATGATAATAGATTAAGATTGAGATGATATTTCTATTTGATAAGGTTTAATTATTTAATCGAATTTCCGATCTTTATTGATAATTTATTTGTAAAGAGTAATTACTCAAAGTAAAATAAATTAAAAATAATCTTGATCAATAATCGATTTATTTTTCTTTCGATTAATCAAATTTCAAATTAATTTAAATCGTTTAACATATAAATATCTGTCAAAATAGATAAACAGATGATTATATAATAATTTATATTTTCAAATTCTTGACTATTTTTCATTAAATTTATTTTTATTTGTTTATGGAATTATCATATTAAAGTCAATTCAGATTATTGAATTTACTATTATGAAATTCTTTCAAAAATCAAGCTTCTATTAAAATAATATAAATATAGATTAAATTAGATTAGATTATTGACTTTTTTTTTTCTTTGAAATTTTGTCATAAATAAATAGTTTTATTTTACTTTTACTAAAAGTTTTTTTTGATTTTTGAAAATAAAACTAGTGAATTTAAAGAAAAGATCAATATATTTATCTTAATTAAATAATTGTTAAATACTACTGAAGAAATTCGTTCTTAAATAATTTTTTTCTAAATTATTTTAATAGAAACAATTATTTTTATTAAGACTTTTATTTATTTTTCTAATAATAATTATCAAATAATTAATAGGATATTTTTTTGTTTGCTTTTTCAATTAATTTATCTTCGTGGTATTTATACTGAAAAGAATATCTTATTAAACTTGTTCTGTCAAAATGTTTAAAAAGAAGCTTTTATTTAATTTGATTCTTTTTTGTTGAATGATAATCTTATAGTAAAATATAATCAATTATTTATGATTAATAAAAGAATTCTTATACTCATCTATAGGTGATTAAGTCAAATTAAATTATATTATATTTAATTATTTATTTGAAATTTTTATCTATTTCAATATTCTATAGTTTATATTAGATAAATTATATAAACAGTAATCGATAAATATTTCAATGTTTTTCGAATGTTTTATTAATCTTGTTTGAATAATAATATATAATAAGTGAACGTTGCTATGGTTTCTTAATAGAGAGAAGTATCGATCAATTTTCCTTTCGAAACTTTATCGTTTAAGTTTAGAGAGGAAAATTTTCATTTGAATTTTTTAATTAAACGACATATGTTCTGTTTTTTAAGATATTTCAATAAAAATGAAATATGATATGTAATAATATCATCAAAAAAAAATAATTTTAAGAATAAATATATAAGAAGATCGTTAGGTTTGTTTAAGAATCTCTTTGGTTAATTATTTATTCAATAAATTTTTTTCTCTTTTACTATTTGAAAAAAAATAAATGTTTAAATGTTCATTGACTATTAAAAGAATTTATTATTATTTATTTTGATAAATTCTTCTTGTATTTTAATGAATTTCGAAAAATCAATAAAATATAAAATAGTTAAAGGAAGAAAACAACAAGGTTATTCAGTACACAATCATATTCTTACGAGACCAATAGAAAATCTAGTAGTTGTATTCTTTACAATTCATTCTTTTTTCTTTTCTTCTTTATTTTTTTTTTCTATCTCTAAGAGGAAAGGGAATGAGGTGAATGAGTACAATACTGATCTCATATATAAAAGATAATATTATAATTGTTATTTTAGTATAAGTCAAGTGCTTATAAATAGAATATCTAAAAAATGTCTGAGAAAAGTCAAAAAAATGGATCTGAGACTTTTTCAAGTAAATTATATTTGGATGAACCATCTACTGATAAAGAATTATATGGTGATCAATCATTTGCTTTTGGTACAATGCAAGGATGGAGAAAATCTAATGAAGATTATCATAAAGAATTAATGCCATTTGATAATCATTTATGGAAACATTGGGCTTATTTTGCTATATTTGATGGTCATAATGGAATTGAAACAGCTAAAAATGCAGCAAATCTTCTTGATAAATATCTTTTGGAATCTTTTAATGAAGTTAAATCTGATATTGATACTGAAATATTTAATAATATTATTAAAAATACATTTATTCAATTGGATAAAAATTTAAGTGGAATAGTTAAAGATGGTAGTGGTTCGGTTTGTGTATGTTTTTTTTTTAAATTAATATTGAAAGAAAGAAAAAAAAACACTGATATATTTATATAAAATGTTCATATCTATTTAGATAGCATCTTTAATTGGTCCAAAAAAAGTTTATTTAATTAATGTTGGAGATTCACGTGGAATAATTATTTCAAAAGATGGACAAGTTTTATTATCTACGAAAGGTTATTTATTATTTATTTAAAATAGTTTAAAAAAAAAAAACAAAATTTTATTCGAAATAGATCATAAACCAAGTGTTCGAAAAGAACAAGAACGTATTCATCGAGCAGGAGGTCAAATAACAAAATCTCAAAATGATGTTTTACGTGTTGAAAATCAACTTGCTACGAGTCGAGCATTCGGAGATTATTCATTAGATAAACATATTATACCAGCTGTACCTGATATAATTGAATATCCAAGAGATTCATCAGCATCATATTTAATTCTAGCTTCAGATGGAATTTGGGATGTGATGAATAATGAACAAGTTGCTTCATTTATTTCTCAACGAATATCAAATACAAGTTTAAAAAATATAATATCAGAATTATTTGATCAATGTTTAAAAGAAGAATCTTCAGATAATATGACTGTTTATATTGTTAAACTAGATTAAAATATATAGTTTTTTTTCTTTTTTATCACAAGCAAAACAATTTATCTAAGCCATTAAAAAATTCCTTTTTTTTTGGGAATCTTATTATTTCGATATAATATTTTATTTAAAAGAACAGCGGTATATAATTAGAAAATAGTTCGTATAAAAATATCAATTGTATAATAATCTATATGTTAATTAATAAATAATTATTAGATAATTCGATATTTATTGAGTTGAGTTTCATTTAAATAAGAGAATTTTCTTTTTTAAAAAGTTTTATTATTCGCTTGAGAAAAACAAACTATACTCGGAAAAATATCATTTATTAACTAATCAAGAAATATATTTCTAGATTAATATTTAATTGTGTGGATGTGGGTGTGGGTGGGGTGTGGGTGGGGTGTGGGTGTGGATGTGGGTGGGTGTGGGTGTAAAATGACGGAAGATTCACACCCACACCCACACCCGCATCCACATCTCACACCCACACCCACACCCACCCACACACCCACACCCACCCACACCCTCGTGTTTAATGGTCAATGTAAAGCATATCACACTAAGATTATGGCTATTAAAAAACAACTGAAGTTAGCAGATTCTTACTTCGAAGAAGGAAAACGTAAATGGCTTGAGTTTGATAAGGAATTCGATGCTGTTTGGAAAGAAGTTATAGGTGAACAATAAAAAGAAAGGATCTGTTTGTCTCTTCATTGATTTTATTTTCGCATTATTTTCACTATTTCTTCGATTGAAGAAAGATTGTTACGAAATAAATGCATTTTTACAATTGAGAAAGTGCGTGTGGGTGTCAGTTCATGGTACTTCCCCGTTGCCGAAGAAGGTTTGATTATCATCGATTCTAATCCTGGTTGTGAACCAACATATTCCTCGGTGAACACTGCACTTTTCCGATGATCAGCTACAATGTATCAGTGTGTCTGATACAAGGGTCATGGAGAATGCCAGTGCCTCTACCGTTATCATTACCTTATTCTCCTTGTTGTTACTTGAATCAAGCAAGTAACTTTATGCAAGACCTGTCCACTACCTTGCCAGAGCCAAGTGATTCTTGATGATCCTACTTGTTCCCAGTACTGCACTGCGTTCCATTCGGTCGATACAATCCTCTGCCTTTTCTTTTATGATTCCTAAGCTTCCGCTGATCTGTTCACTTAGGCCCGGGATTACTTTTCCACATGCACCAACTACAACAGGGAGAAAAAAAGTCTTCCAACCCTCAGTCTGAAGTTCACGAAGTAAACTGTCATCCCAAGGGTATGGAAGGTCAAGTTCCTCTCCATAGTTGCCGTTGACGCAGTAGCGATTCGTCTTGGACTCTATTTGTTTTTCTATTCCAGTAAACCATGACACAGCAACTTCAATGACAGTAACGGTCTTCGTCACCTTGTCGAAAATTATAATGTCCGGTTTATTGTGCCTAATGATCGCTTTAGTCTGCACTGGTTGATCCCAGTACAGTTTAATACGATCATTTTCCTTAACAGGTTCCACTTGTTGTGTATAGTGCTGCGACGCGAGACCATATTTTTCGCATATTCTGTAGTGAAGGTTCCTGGCTACAGAGTCGTGGCGATCGATATAAGGTAAGTGCAAAAAGTTTGTGACATTTTCTTATCGATATTAATAGAAAAATTTCTAAGAACTTTTTTTTCATATAATATATCAAAAGGGTGTGGGCGTGGGTGTGGGGGTGTGGGTGAGTGTGGGTGTGGGTGTAGGTGTGGGTGTGTGGGTGTGGGTGTGGGTGTGTGGGTATGGGGTGTGGGTGTGGGTGTGTGAGTATGGGGTGTGGGTGTGGGCGAGTGTGAGGGTGTGGGGTGTAAGTGGGTAGGTGTGGGTGTGAGGGTGTGGGCTGTGGGTGTGGGTGGGTGTAGGGTGTGGGTGGGTGTGGATGTGGGTCTCCTCTTCACTCGCAATCACGCTACATCTCCACGCGCACCAACACCCACATCACCCACATCCATACCACACCCACAGTGATTCTAGATTTTTCATTTTGTTCTAAGTATGGCAATAATGACATGTTTTCGATGCACACATTTTATTAAAATTGAACTTTATTGAAAAATCGAGAAAAATAACATGGAAAATAGTTGAGTGTGATAGAAGAGAAAAAGAACTAATCGATAGTGTGCAATGATTATAATAATACTTGAGAAGAATGTATGTTTTTCAGTTTAAACGTTCATTTGCATCATGTTTTCTACAAAGAGAATAGATTGAATTAGTTTAGTATGATAAAATACCATTGATATTCTCTTGATAAACTATCATTGAAATATTATATTAGCACAGCATACTTGGTGTATTGCAAAGATCAACATTAACGCCCAGCATAAGTAGCACACTTAGCCCAAGGACAACATGGGCGATCACCACAACACTTAGCATCACTATTATGATTAATAAGACAACAAGCAGCATAAGCAGTATTACACATTCCTCGTGTCTGTCGCACTAGCCGTTCCAGAGCGTTGGCTGCATTGCAGCATGTCATCAATAATGCCATGATCAAAACCAAATAAATCACTGTTTTTATTTTGCTCATTTTGTGACTATGAATTATGGAAGAAATTTAGATAGAGAGAGTAGTGTAGAGACATTACCAAGTTCTTTTCTAGAATTCTCTTAGATCCAAGGCTTTTGCTTGTCAATTTCTAATCGACATATGTACTCCCAAGAATAATTTCTCTTATCAACTTTCCATGTCTGAACTTATTTGTAACATGAAGATTTTTCTCCAGGAGAAAATAGTTTATTTGAAAAGTGATAGAATCCACTTTACAATGTATCTAACTTCTTACCTGTTACGATCGCAAAAAGATTGTTTCCAATAGCTGTTCTAAAACAACGTGATTGTATGATATAGATTGCTGCTCCTTATATACATATGGATGCACGAAGTTTCAAGAGAAAAAATTCACATGTTTATTTCTGTGCATTAGAAGAAATGGCAAAAAAGATATTTTCGTACATTTCGTTTGTCAAGGAATTAGATAACGCGTATGCCAGCTGCTTCTTCATCCCACAGCAATAGACCAGCCTTTGATGAAAACGACACTGGAGTAAGTAAGCCATTTCGGTTCTTATTTTGATGCGCAGAACTGTCATCACATTTTGCCACGATTGTATTGCAAAGAATCGATATTTGAGAAACTGACTCTCTATTGTCTCAAATCACTTACTCGCCGTAAACTTAATGTTTCGTTGCCTTAGCAATTCAAGGCACTCCCTTCTCAGATCGAAAAGGCACGATTGTAATCAGTCGTCAGTTAGTCGTAGGTTAAGTTTGAATTTGTCAATCATCAGGATTCGGATCGACGGTAACTAAACTTCGGTTGCGATCGCGTCCCAGTCATGAAATGTTCTTCAAATATTGATCGTTTCGATACCTACTTTCTACTCATATATGAACAGGGTGGGGTGTGGGTGTAGGTGAGTGTGGTGTGGGTGGGCGTGGGTGTGGGAGTGGGATGTGGGTGTGACTGAGTATCTCATCACCACTCACACCCACACCCTCAAGATCATGCAAATATTCTTTTTCATATTTGTAGAACTATATTTAAAATGTATAATTAATTCATTTTTGAATTCACCTTGATCTTCATTGGTTCTAGTCGAACTAGCAACTAAAAAATCTAATTCATTTTTAAGACGACCTTCGTTTTGTTTTGAAAACTGGACAACTTTCAATGATATACTTTCGATATTTCAATTAACTTTAGATCCATCGTTTTTTCTTTATAAATTTATAAAAAAAAGCTTTGTTTTTTCTCCGTAATTTAGTAGCTGATGTTAGATAATAACTAAGCGAAATTTTTTGTTAAAGATTTTGATCTTCAACTTGAACATCTATAATCAGCAATATTTTTGTTTTCATAGAGGTCTTTGTAATCTTGTTATATGACTAATACCGATTTCAATTGGCTCGAGAACATTTAAACGCTTGTTAGTGTGCCTATTCTTGTTCTGATTGATAATCTTTATCCAAAGAGAATTTCTTTTGCTGTTTCGTTGCTGAATGCATTTATTGTTTTATTTACATCAAATGCCAAACTAAGCCAAAATCAAATCGATATTATATGTGTGTCCAGAAATTACACGAACCCACCAAGCGAGAAGAGGAGGAGATGAATGAGTGGAGGGTGTGGGATATAGATGCCGCTCAACAGAGGACACACTTCCACAGCCACAGTTACAGCCATAGTCACACCCACACCCTATATATGCGTTTATTTTGCTGAGCATACAGCAGGTGCAGGATCTTGATTATTAGTGTAATAAAAATAGAGAAATAATTTGGATCAGATCTGTTTTTTCTTTTACCCACGTGTATCAAGGGAGAAATACTTTTCTACTGATTAATGTTATTCTGATATTTGATATAAGTCAATAGTTGAAGAAATAAATCTTTCTTTCATGACAAACATATGATTACAAGGACAAATCTCAGTTTTAAAAGCTCGTTTTGTTCATGTTTCTTTATTCGTACTTTTCAAAATTATAAAATGATGTTCTTGCTTTCTATCATCGTCGTTCTATGTTGTTTTCAAACAATACATGCACAGAAACCTTGTGGTAAGATTTAGAATTTTGTGTGATACTCCACTAATATTTTGTAGCAATGTTATCGACAGGTGGATCATATTCATTTCGTGTAATGACATACAATATTCGATATGATACAGTAAAAGATGGAAAGAATCAATGGTCTCTTCGCAAAAATTATTTAATTAATCTCATTCGCAATCGTATGCCAGATCTATTCGGTGTTCAAGAAGCTTTGCCTAATCAAATATTCGACTTACAGCATGCATTATCCGCCTATCGTTACTACGGTGTTGGTAAAAATGATGGCAAAAGTAAAGGTGAATTTTCTGCGATATTTTATCGCTTCGATCGATTTGACCTTCTTGACAGTGGAACATTTTGGCTTTCGAAAACACCAAAAATACCAGGCAGTAAAGGATGGGATGCAGCTGGTACACGTACATGTACATGGGTCAAATTACGTGATCGATACAGCCTTCAGATATTTTACCATTTTAATACACATTTTGATAGTACAGGTAGAACTTCTCGACTTGAAAGTGCTCGTCTCATTTTAAGTCAAACAAGAGCCATAGTTGGATCTTCAACACCAATCATGCTGACGGGTGATTTTAATGCGTCTCCACATTCAGACAGTTATCGTACTTTCATCACCAATACAATTTTTAAAGATAGTAAAAATGTTTCGGAAAAATCTCATTGTGGTCCAGATAGTACTTTTTCTACGTTTATCGTTGGCAATCCAATGGGGAAACAAATCGATCATATATTTGTAACATCACAAGATTTTAAAGTATTACAGCATGGAACTTTAACAGATTCAAATAACGGATATTATCCATCAGATCATCTACCTGTTCTAGCTGAAATTATGTTCAAAAAGATCGTTTCTGGTTGATAGAAAATCTTCTATTTAATATCTATCTGTAAGATTAATTTTTTAAAGGGTATAATATCAGAACTTTCAAATAAAATATTCATTGCTTAGAAAGTACAAGTTTTATACGGAATAGAACATTATAAGAAATCATTTATTTTTTCATTGCAAACAAGAGTTAGGTACCGGTAATTTTGGTATCCATTGAGGATCGAATAATGTCGGAGGATTGACACCAAAACATGCAGATCCTTGTAAAGTGTAAGGTTCCATACATAGTGGTACTGTGATAAGGAGAAAAATGTGCGTCACCAACCAGCCAAGAGGTGCTGGTAGCAGCATTGCCAAATGTGTTTCTATGCAACAAACAATATCGTGTAAAAAGAAGAAAGAAAATGAAGGCACAATGAACTGTGGATCATTGAAGGCCAAAAGAACAGCATGAACATGAAGAAGTCTACTAACGATAAATGTTGTTAGAGCTACTATCATCGGAAAAGATAAGCATGACAGAACGAGCTTGAATATAGATTCTTTGAAAATAGTGCTTATTAACCAGTTATATCGTTGGCCCCAAAATTTGCATAATGATGGGTGTGAGTGTGAGTATGGGTGTTGTTGTGAATCTTCTCTTCACCATCATCCACACCCTTAACAGAAAAACAAAGAAAAGGTACTCTTTTCCAGCGATGATGACTGTTCGTGTGGGTGTGGGTCTCCTTTCCACTAATACGCAACCACGCACACATTCACATATTCAAAAGTCGAAAAAACAGAAAATTTCGTTTCATATTGATGAAGATTTTGATCGATGGAAGCTTGAATGAAAAATCGGACCTTATATTCAGATTTCTGGCTCTCGATAACCTGTAGCAAAAGCTCATCAAAACACCCAAAATCCTGAAAATAGAAAGGCTCCTTTCTAATTGGTTCGGGCAGACAAACAAACAAACATACATATATTTGCTCATGTAACACCCTTTCTTTCAGAAGAGAAAATAATAATAATTGCTATTGTACAATCTATTCATTTGCTAACAGACAAGCGATATAGTAATATGGAGGCATAATTTTTCTGAGATGCTCTTCGAAAGATGAATGCTGAATTAATATGTGAAGAAAAATTTTCATGTATTTAGTTTTGAATTTCGTTATGATACTTACAAAAATGTTGATCAAAGTGAATTTAAGTTCTTGTTCGAACGCATTGTAGCCTTATATAGATAACTAATATAATCCGATATGACAACAATTGTCTAATTAGTTCAAAATATGATTAGGATGAGGCAAAAATAAAAACAAGCTTACAAGGAAACATTCCAACGTGTCGGAGCACTTTTACGTTGGGACGTAGTACTTGTTGTAGACCTTGGTGAGATATACTTACCCTGATAAAAAGTTCGTGTCAGTGGCTTGTTTTTCAGGAGATCGAACGGGGTGTGGGTGTGGGTGGGTGTGTGGATGTGAGTATGGGTATGTGAGGTATGGGTGTGGATTTGGATTTGGATGTATTTTATATCCACACACACATCCACACCCACACCCACACCCACACCCGACATCCCACACCCTAGTTTCTTCCCTTCTTCTTTTAGTTCTATTAATATTTATTCATCAAATATTTAACCGAGAATTAATTGCTGATCCGCAACCTGAGAAACGATTATGGTGTGTTATTCGATTTCGATATACATGGTTACAAACATATGATAGTATTATTAACTTTAAGCTGATGTACATTGCATCAATAAGTTATATTTTGGATTTTTTACCTAAAACAGCAATATTTCTTATCTTTATTCTCTTTTCTCACCTGTTTTATAAACTATCTATCAAAACAGAAATAAACTCTTTGCAATTTCAAATAGACAAGATAAAATGGATGGTTTCATCGATGATACCATCTGTAAACGTTAGATCAATCGGTGTATCATTTTTATGGCATATATTCGTGTTTTCATATATAAAAAATTCGGTTTGCACTAAAAATATTTCTTCTAAGACTGACTGTTTCGATTTTAGGTAAAATAAAATTGGTTTTTTTGTTGTGACCAACACAACGAAAACTTTGATAACTGATAAAATGCGACAGACGGATGATTTGATGGTTTTGAAAGTTACTGAACCTATCACTATTACATGTTTATTCGTAAGAAAACATCTGAAGAAGTGAATATAAAGCAAAAAGTGGAATATCGGAATTATTTAAAGTCGAGAATACCGAAAAAACCCAAAGTAACTAAATAAAAACCGTGTTTGTTGTTTTGCCATATTGGAAAAAGGCTACAGTTTGGGATTGAAGTCAATAGTAATAAGTTTTAACAGTATTCCTACACTTTATCTTTATAAATAAAAACTGAGAATCTTCTTCTAATACAAGAGAATCAACCAGCTCATTTGGTTGAAATTCGATGGAGATAAACAATTTTTTTTGTAGGTTATTTCTGGGACACTGTATTTAACACAAGACAAAAAATAATATTCTTCAATGAATTTAAGTTTAGTTTTTAACCTTGTTTTTCGAAGTTTTAATATAAATGTATTCAAAAAACAAAGAGATTTAACAAGAATTATAACAAATCGATTTCAATTGATAAATATAACAATAGAAATGATGATAATATTTTCTAATCTAATGATATTCTGATCAAATACATATTACTTTCGAAATTTAAAATATTATTTCTCATTAATAAAATATTTGAGATGTTTTCTTTAATATTGATTCAAAAATTGTGTAGAATCAAAATCTATGAGAAAAATCAAATGAAATAGAAAAAAGGCTTTCATATACATCTCATCATCAATAAGTTATCATTATTGTTTTATAATATATTTTATCGGCTATGAAAAAACACATTGACTATAATAGAAGATCCCACGTCATTCTCTTATGCTCGAGTAGATAAATGTTTCAGATAACTCTTTTATTAGATTTCTCTTTATTAAGTAACAATAATTAAAAAGTTATCTCAGAAAACTAGGTCAGCAAGAAAGATTTGAAAGGATGTTTCAGGATGAAAACGATGCAGAAATCATTATCGCTTCAATTTCTAAATGAAAAGTCTGCAAATCAACACCTTTTCGATTAGATATATTGATTAAAGTTACAATTTGATAATTAGTTTAGTAATTAACAGAGAAACTTCTACCATCTCCGAGGCATCACTCTTGCAAGGAGTCTTCTGTTATGCAGTAATCCTGAGTGATAATAAAAGGGATTTGGATTACAATTGTTTGAAATAAGATAATTTTCTTTTTATAAATATTAAATAGTTTTAGTTTTAGTTTTAGTTTTTTTAAGTAGAATTCAAAAAGTTTCTTTTCAACTCGATTCATCTTTAAACAACTTAGGTGTGGGTGTGGATGTGGGGTGTGGGTGTGGGTGCTGCTCTGCTCTTAACTCACACCCTCACCCACACCCACATCCACATCCACACCCACACACCCACACCCCACCCCACCCACACCCACACCCTTATTAAAGTATTGATTTTTAGCAATTGATCAATTCTGGTTAACTATTACTCGAACATTTCGATCATCCATTAAACGTAGTGCTTTTGAAGGTGCGATAAAAAAATGATGATTTCCAATCATTAACTACACGATTACTATTAGGAAATGTTTCATGAGTATATTTAGTTAAAAATAACATAAATTAAGTTAGTTTAATTTTTATTTTCAGTCGTTTTGGACGGAGACGTTTAATTCTAGATTTTTATATAACGCTGATAAAAGTATGTTTTGTGCTGAAAATAATACTAAACAAATGAAAATGGAAGAAATATTATGGTATTAGTGGAACAATTGTAGAATCTTTAGGTAGATATAGGATATTTTATTCGTTCATTTCTTGTTCATAGTCATTCACGTTATGTCTATGCTTGTCAATGAAATTCACATTTACAATAGAAGCATTTTTCGTCGTAATCTTCAAACAAATCATATTAATGATGATCGTTATATATTTTTATGGAGGGATAATCAAGTAGCATATCTATTTACTTTTTTTTTTCGAAAGATAATTTCTAATCATATCTTTTAGATATGTCCTGCTGAAGTAGTTGATCGATGTAATCTTGGTTTAATTCCATCATCTGAACTAAGTTGACCTATTGCATGTCGAACTCTTCGATCTGAAGATAGTCGATTTCATGTACATAATGTTATGAATAAGAAAAGAAGAAATATATAATCACAATGAAGTAAAAAAGTTCGATAACGTATTGAAACTATTATACAAAATATTCATCATGAAGAAAATAATTATAAATGTGTAAATAGAACATATTGAACGAGTTAAACCTTATCGACCTCATTTAGATGATAATTGTTGTTTATTTATTATTAACTAAAATATCTTCATCCGCATGAGAAAAAAATTTTCAGTTTATTAAATGTTATTATTAAACTGTCTGTTTAAAAATATAATATCTATATGAAAAATTCGTACATGTACAACTGCAGTATTCATCTTTTATTGGATGATATCTCTTTAAAAAAATGTTTTAAAATTTTATTACTTTTATTGATTAATTTGATTCACAATACCGAATAATTGAATCATTAAAAATATTATTTTCTGAATGACTTTCCATCCAATGATAATGATCGCGAAGCCACACTGACTATTAAACAGTATCGAACCTTTGCTGGTCAAATGAAGAATTGTATTTTACGTATAATTCAACATAAATGTAAACTTTGAGCACATCTCTTTTTGTTTATTATAAAACAAAGTTTAATTAGCTGAGCGAGAATATTCGTACTTAATTTTATGTAGGAAATTTTTATGTAGTCTCTTTCTTTAAAATAAATCCTTAACGGTAAAAAGCCGTATGTTTTTAGAATCTTTTCAAATTTTACGACAGAAAACTGACTAAAAAACTGAATTTCTTATGAGAAATTTCAATATATTGACGGTGAAGGTGAACCTAAAGCAACGATGAGTGAGAATAAAAGTAATTCTTCAAATATTAATCATTCAAATATCGATAGAGGGAGTCAGTTACTGATTATTTAGATGATTCTTACATGAACAAATTCGATTAAATAGTTTAAAAATTTATAATTGTTATTTAATTGAATGAAACTTGAATTTTTTGTTTTAATGTATTTAGAAAACTTGACAACGCTAGAGGCTACATGGATATGATATTGATTATGAAAAATGCATGACACCATAGTACCATCAATGTTTCTTTTTTCTTTCTATTCATGGCTAATCTATATTGTTCTTCTATGATTTGAAAAATATTCTGATTATTTTCTTTTAATGATATACTAGTTTACTTTATTTTTTTTTTCTTCAAGATTTAAATATAAAAATCTAATCTCTCCTAGTTGTACGTTCATTATGGTAATAAAATTTATTAAAATAAATGAAATGATAAATAAATTCGTTTTAGGGATTACTTGATATAATACGAAATCTTCGTCCCACAAAACAAAATGAACTACGTATATTACTTCTAGGTCTTGATAATGCTGGCAAAGTATAAATTTTAATTTCATTTATAAATAAACTTACAAAAAAAGAATCTTTTTTAGACAACATTACTTAAAGTTCTTGCTTCAGAAGATATTACAAATATAACACCAACACAAGGTTTTAATATTAAAAGTGTGCAATCAACTGGATTTAAACTTAATGTTTGGGATATTGGTAAATATTGTCATAAATTTTATTTTCATTTAATCATTTTATTAAATAGGTGGTCAAAGAAAAATACGTCCATATTGGAGAAATTATTTTGAAAATACAGATGTTTTAGTATGTAAAATATTAATTTTTTTTTTTGCAAAAATTCTATTTAATTTTATTTAGATTTATGTTATTGATAGTTCTGATCGAAAACGTTTTGATGAAACAAATCAAGTATGTATTCATTTAAAATTCATATGAATATCGAAATAGTGTTGTTTTTTATTTGTTTCTAAAAAGATAACATAGTATAAATTGATTCAGTAATCGTTCGAGTTAAGCAATATCAAAGGTAGTGATAAAGTTTTTTTTTTCTTTTTTTCACCTATCCAACTTGTAAGTTATCAGATTTTCATTTTGTAAAATACTTCATTCGATAATCTCTTGTCGATTGAATAGAATATTTGAAATATGTATTAGAAAGACAGATAGATTATATTCTCTTTCGATCATATGTAAATCTACATTTAATACTCGTCATAAAAAATATTAGTAAAACACTAAGATAATTTTCATTTTAATACATTTAATTTATGTTCGATATTACAGTAATCTCTTGAATCATATACTTAGAAAAATTAGTTAATTGATCAAGATTGATTTCATTAGTAGTTTTTATTTTGTAATAGGAATTATTTGAATTATTAGAAGAAGAAAAATTACATGATGTACCATTACTTGTTTTTGCTAATAAACAAGATTTATTAAATGCTGCTAAAGCATCAGATATAACTGATGGTTTATCATTACATCAAATTCGAGATCGACCATGGCAAATTCAAGGTTGTTCAGCTTATACAAAAGAAGGTGTTAAAGTAAGATATGATCTTGTTTTTTTTCTTTTACATCTAAATGATATTTTTTCTTCAGGAAGGTCTTGAATGGGTATCAAAAACAGTTACTAAAAATAAAAAATAGATAAAATCAAAAATTTATCATCTTCTTTTTGTGTGTGTGTGTGTGTGTGTATATCAATTATTTATTTGCTTCTATGATTTGTTTTATAGAAAAAGAAATAGCATAACAATTATTTATTGAGCTACGTATAATCAATGCATAGTTGAACAATATAGTTCTTCCTCAAGTGAAAATATACATATTTTATTTGTGAAATTGTTTTTTTTTTTCTTTGTCTTTATTGTTACCGAGTGTGAGGGACATATTTTCAACGATGCTAAATATGAATAAAACCTTATGTTGTGGCTTTTTATGTGTGTGTGCTAATTTTCTTTAAAAAAAATGTTTAGGAATGAATTTATCATTTCTCTTTTTCTGTTTTTGTTTTCGATATAAAAAAAAAGTATTAGCAACAAAACTAAACTAAAGTGTTGCATAAATATTGATAAGTGAATCGAAATACTTTGATCTCTTAGATGTATATAAAGAATGTCAAAATGATTTTAAAATTGTTGATATCAATTTGAATCAGAGATGTCCATCGCGGTTGAAAACTGACCGCTGCCGCGCCGCAACGATAAAAGAAAAAAGCTAACGCGCCGCTGCCGCGACGCCACCAAAAATAACCATGCCGCGATGATTGTTAGAATAATGTTGTGAATTTTACGATCTGTGACTGTTCAGGACTTGAGCTGTTGTCACCAATCGATAAGATTCGTTGAATCTTATAGTTTTTGCACTTGCAAACATTGAAATTCTGTTCGAATTCATGCATTTTTGCATTGTTCTCCAAAAAACCTACCGCTACCGCGCCGCTGCCGCGATAGTTAGTTAAAAAAACGACCGCTGCCGCGCCGCACCAGCAGCGGCGCGGTGGCGGTAGCGGCAGCGATCGCGCCGCGATGGACATCTCTGATTTGAATATATCAAAATAAATGATTAAGTATTTAAGAAATAGTATAGCTCATATGAAATAGTATAAATTCGATTTGTTGTCTTCTATAAAACGATGAGTATGAACAATTTTTTGATTGCTTACGTATGCTTTCCTTTTTTGTTTATTCTAACTAAATTTTAGAATGTTATAAAAATTATAATGATTAACATTATCTTCAAGTATTTTTCTATACATTTTATGTAATTTCTCATTGTATACAAAAGATTTTTAAAAATTTTCATAATACAAGGAAATAATAAACTGAGTACAAATAATTTTTCAATGTAGTAAGATTGAATCATAGATGAATTGTTATTTATTGCAATATTCTTTGTGCAATAATCTATGTTACATTACTTGACAAATAGATATGTCTATTTCTTTTTTTTTTGTTTGTTTGTTCGAACTTTCAAGTTTCTTTTCTAAATAATGGCCTTATTTGAATGACTTTATTGTTGCCTGTTCTTTAAACAATTAAAAATGAAAATTTATTTATTTTTGAAAAGGCAATTTCTATACAAACGATTGAATTGTTTATCTTCGCTAGAGGAATAACAGATCTGTAATAGTATTGATCTATTTAAACAGTTGTTATGAACTAACAGACCTAAAGTTAATAGTTGTTGCAAGACTTTGAATGAATTTTATTGTGCGACTTCAACGAAAATCTTGCAAAAATTATAGAATATAAAACGTAGAATAACAGATTTTACAACACTAACTTGATCGATAACAATCAGATAAGTGCTATCATCAATAAAATATGTTAGATAATTTTATGGCATGACTTTATATCGATTTAGACAGAAACATGTAACTTGACAGAAATAAAGAAGTATGAAAATAAAATCGTACATTAATGGTGACACAGTAGCTCCATTAATATAATCATTGGGGCTCTAAGTTTTAGTGTATAGATCTATGCTGTTGGTCACATAAGTATAGTCAATGGATATGAATATAATCGAGTTAGAAAAAGTCATACTCAAATATTGGCTACATATGTATGTTTTATTTGTAATAAGGTAATACATTATGTAAAAATAAATTGAATTAGAGACTTTAATCCTTTATTAATAACACAAAGTTCTAAGGTTTATGAATTTTTCTAAAACAATGAGGAAATATCATGAAGTTGAACAGGACGATATTTTATGTTCATACAAAATCGTGTTGTTGAATACTACGCATAGCTGCATATAAGTCTTGATGTTAGCTTACAGGAACCACGATTTTGCGTATAACTTTTATATGGTCTTGTCTAAATGTATGAGGATCTTTGATGGCTCTTTTTGTTCGATTTATCGACTTGAATTGTCTCAGACTGATACCCATAACTTTGCAATCTCTATATGGCACCATACCTAAGCCAGCTGAAGTTTTGTCTGAATTTCTTTTTCACGATCTTTCATATTCTTCATTCATATGATTATATTACTACATATCGATTAGTCTTTTTTGAATCTCTTTAGAAGATGCTCGAGTTGTACTGTTGAGATCATGGACTCAAATAACATTATTGCTTCATTTGCGAAGCAACTTCCAAAAAGTTTATGGGTAACTTGTTAAAATGACATTCATCACATCATATCAAAAGAATTTTGTCTACAGTTTAGTTGTATTGAAACTGATCAACTCGTAGTCTTCATCAACTTTTTGTTTGAATAAGATTTTAGCAGAATTGTATTCAAACATACTGTAGTAAATTGAAATCAAATTTATTCCATTTTATCGATTCCTTGTTTTTTTTTTTCTTCCGATGTACGATTTCAAACATACATTTTATTAATCAAACATATATTTCCCTTTACTTTTTTTCCACAAATGCACAAAATAAATTCTAATAATACAAAAAAAAACCGATTGAGCACAATAAACAACCAGGGAAGACACAATTTTTTTTTTCTTGAATAAAAAATAAATAAATTTGCTGTTTAAAATAAGAAAGAAAAAAGGCACAGGGATTCACGAGTACAACTGTAAGAAAGATTGCATCATTGTACAAATATCCCAAGAAAACCAAAACCAAATTTCTAAATAAATGATGAAATCAAAAATAATTTGAAAAATAGATAAAGACAAAAAAAAAAGAAATTTTTCAATAAGGAATTTTGTTTTGTTGAAATTGAATATAATCATAAATACGTGTTCTTAAACTGTGTGCACAACGATTAATAACTTCATGCATATAACGAGCTGCTTCAGTTTCACTTGAATCAGGTTTAAGACGAGCATTAAATTGTTCTAATGTATGACCACGAAAACATGGCAATTCAGTATCTAACATTAATGCAACAAGTGTTATAAAATGTTGACGATAAGGTCTAGAATACAGAATAGTAAAATAAAATAAATCATACATATTTATTATTATATGACTCGGATATAAAATTTAATTTTGAGATTATCTCCAATAGTTTTCGGGCAATTTTTATGAATAATCTATGAAGCTATCTGGACACATAATGATGTTTGCGTATCTTATGAGGAAATACCTTGCGTTGATATGATGCTCCAATCATTCTAGAGGACCTGTTGAAGCTAGAAGAAGCTCAGAAGGATTATAGTGCAGTGTAACAGCCATAATTCTACATTTCAAACTTATTAAGTTATCAAATAGCATAAGAAATATTAAGATAATAGTAGTTTACATAGTCTACAAGGACAATCTAATGCACATCGATAAAGCTTTCGATTGACATGTAATATACTTATGCTTTACCTTCATCTTTAGTAGTAATAGAAATACTATATAAAAGAAAAAAACTGTTTCAATTTGATTTTTTTTTCGTTAAATATCGATAGACTTATGCGTAGTCCTTCAGTTGAGAAAAAAGAAATTTTCTCATTAATTATCAATGACAGACAAATTCTAAATTATCAAAAGAATCGTGTTCTATATTTTTAGACTTTTGAAGTTTCAATCATTCAAAAAATGAAAAACAAATCTTTTCCTCACCTGAAGTAGTAAAAAATTATTTTTCAAATAGAACTTATGGGGAGATTCGCATCTTGATCTTTAAAAATCTCCTAAACGATAAGGTATCGAAGTGTAAAATTTTTTATTAATGCATTCCATTAGTCAATTATTGAATGCAAACTTTCATCTATCGATTATTCTACTCTATCTATTTCGGAACACACTTTCTTACCATCTTTTACTTAATCCTCTAGAAATGCAGTAGCTCATAAATAAATAAAAAACGAGATACTATGGATGTACGGTCTATTAGCGAGGGAAATTTCAAATTTTTATCTTTGTTCTTTTCATCAAGCTTGAAATCAAAATAAAAATATCCTTTTACCTCAATGCTAAATAACCTTTAATACATAATTCTTTGAACCATAAAAATGCTGGAGCTGTTAAATCACCCATAATAAGAATCATTTCAGCAGTTAATTTAATATCTGGTTCAAATCTCATATTTCCACCAGGTGATGATTCAAACATAAAACCAAAATCTAGAAAATGAAAAATAATCAATAATATTCTAAAAATAAAATATTAAATTACAAACCAATATGAATAATATGTCCTTCATCATCGAGCCTAAAACAAAAAAAATATCAATAAAATATATTTCGATAACAATCATAATTAATTATGAATAACGAACATAATATTTCCATTATGACGATCTTTGATTTGTAATAAAAACAGTGCTACTGAATAAGCAGCCATACTTATTACAAAATTTCGACGTGCCTATATAATCATTAATAAACAAAATTATTCATAGAAAAAAATAAAATATTTCTACTTTTTGAAATTTAATTGAATCTTCTTTGCCATAAACATGACGAAAATAATCAAATAGACCAGCTTCTGTATTTCTACCAATATCTTCACGTGAACGAGAATTTGGAACACATTCAATAACACCACACTAGAAAAAATTTTCTAATAAATATTAAATAATATATATATATACACTTACTCCAGGACTTGTTGCTATAACTCGATATGTATATAAATATAATTCTAATCCTTCTTGTTCAAATATATTATGAAATAAACGCATTAATTGTAAAGCTAATATATCCTTTAATGACCAAAAAATAAATAAATAAATTTGTTAAATTCGAATAGAAATATTTAAACAAAAAAAAAATATTTCGATTTTACTTGTCGAACATCATCACCAACTTTAAATATAGCCATTTGTGAATATTCAGTACTAAAATCATGCATAAATTCATAATCAGGATCAGCACAACGTTCAACTTGTTCAATACCAACAGTTTGAACACGAAATGTTGCTCGATATGGTGCTTTAGCAGCACTAAGATTTTGAAAGAAAAAGAAATTTTTTTGTTTTTTAAAGATTTTATTGATTTATTTTGTTTTTCACCTTTGCATTGGTGCTCCACTTTTTAGGTCTAATGATATTAAAATTGCTTCTGGATTTGATGGAAGATAAACACCAGTTGGTACTTCAGAACCGATTTCACGTAAAGCCTTTGCACAAGCTAATAAAAAGAAAAAAGAAATCGATAAATTAAAGAACTATGAAAAAGTTTTATATTACATTAAATATTATTATGAGAGATGTCTGAATATTCTCTTCGCAAGTAGAGAAAATGCATTACAAACTACGTTTTAATGTTTTATTTAATAAAATCCTCCCCTTTCCCTCTTTCCCGACCTAAAATTTTCAGTTTTTTTGTTTTTTATGTAGATATCTTCTATCGAATGAGCACATTGTAAGAAGACTAAACCACTTTTTTTTTATGTATTAAAATTTCGACAAAAAAAGAAACACTCGATTTTGTGCTAAAAAGTGCAACTTTCTTCGCGTTAGGGGTGGTCATTTAATGTTACTTTAAAAAATAATGATAAATGGATCCTTTATCCTTATTTTCTAAAGATAAATGATTCCTTTACCATTATTTTCTAAAGATAAATGATCCTTTATCTTTAAAAAATAAAGGTAAAGGAATCATTTATTTTTATAAAATAAAGGAAAAATAAAGGAATAATGCGATATTGTTTTTCGAACGAAATAGGGCTAAAAGTGTTCAAGGATTATTGGAACTTGCTTTGGAGAACATTTTTATAATTGAACGAATCTGTTTTGACAGAAATAAAATGTCGAACGCGCAAAATAAATTGCAGGTTTTTCATTAATATTTAGTGGATTTTAGCTAGAAAAATAGAAATTGAATTAAAACTAATATCATATTTTTAATCAGCATAAAAAAATAAGCAAACTTATGAATGTTTCGAATGCTTTTTAGATATTTCGATTTTTATCGAAAAATTTGCCCTGGTACCCCTCAGGATTCTGGGAACAAAAAAGTAGACTTGACGAAGATGTAGTTATAATCTGTTAACACATACTCATTATGTGTGCCGCTATCATTTTACAAGTTTAGGGCATGTTGGTGCCTGTCGAATTCCATTTTTGATGAAGTCCACTTTTTTGTTTCCAGAATCCTGAGGGGTACCAGGGCAAATTTTTCGATAAAAATCGAAATATCTAAAAAGCATTCGAAACATTCATAAGTTTGCTTATTTTTTTATGCTGATTAAAAATATGATATTAGTTTTAATTCAATTTCTATTTTTCTAGCTAAAATCCACTAAATATTAATGAAAAACCTGCAATTTATTTTGCGCGTTCGACATTTTATTTCTGTCAAAACAGATTCGTTCAATTATAAAAATGTTCTCCAAAGCAAGTTCCAATAATCCTTGAACACTTTTAGCCCTATTTCGTTCGAAAAACAATATCGCATTATTCCTTTATTTTTCCTTTATTTTATAAAAATAAATGATTCCTTTACCTTTATTTTCTAAAGATAAATGATTGGAGAAAAAGGGTATCATTTACTTTTTTAAATAAAGGATCATTTATCTTTAGAAAATAAAGATAACGGATTCATTTATCTTTATGCTTTATTATAAAGGAAAGTAAAGATAAAGGGTCACCCCTACTTCGCGTTTATCTCAAAACGAGATTTTCAAACAAAAAATTGAAGTTTTTCTTCTTTTTTTTCTGTAAAACCGATTGAGCTCAAACTTTTTGATAGGAACTTCGAACAGATCGAATTTTGTCTTTTTTTTTGTTTCGAAAATATTGTACCGATAAACTTTTGTACGTTTTACAAAATTAGCAGCATCCAAAAAAAAAGAAAAGCTTTTTCTTTAATGATTTTTGATAATACCTCCTGTGTTTTACTTCTTCTGAGTCTTAGGAACAATATTTTTCAAAGAAAATGAACAAGACAAACCTAGATTTGTTTCTAGTTGCTACAGAAAAAATTTCAACTCTGAAAAATGGAATATGAGGGGAAAACTTCAAGGCATTTTGTGCCTTTGACCTGCCAAAATTTCTCGGGTGAAAGCATTTGGAAATTTTGAGTCTATAACAACTTTTATCCTTCTCATCAAGTCATATTCACCCTGAAAGTTTCAAAAATTTTCACTCAACCGTTCTGAAGAAACCTCGAAAAGCGAGAGGAGTCTTCTCAAAGATTAAACTTATAACAGTTGATCAGACAGTAATTAGACCAAATGTTTATTCATTTCTCGGTCTTTTTAAAGAGCCTGCCAAATTTGACACGCTAAAGTTCTCAAAAGACTAAAACATGAATAAATATCTTATCGATTTTTTTAAAATTCTTTGATCTTTGATTCATACCTTGTTTACGATCATTTCCCTTTGGATATGGTTTAATTATTTCTGATACTTTAGTTAGTTTATCTGAATATGTAAAAACACGTTCATAAAATTTTTTTGCATCAGATGTAAAATTAATTTCAATTTGTTGAGCTATGGGTTCAAGTTTTTTTTTCATTTCATCATCTGGTGTTGTTTCATTTTTATATGTATTTGTTCGTATATTCCAAATAAGTTGATGTGCTAATAAATTTGATTTTTCTGATAATGCTAAGATTAGACGACGTACAAAACCCATCTAAAATAAAACATTATATAAATACTTAAAAATTTATTCATTTTGTTTTTTTTTTACTTCATCATAACGAACAGCTTGTACCAATTGAGGAATATATAAAATAAGTGCTTCAGATTTTGTTATACAAAGTATACGTGATGCAAATTGTATAGTATATGAATTAGCTACTTGATTAAGTCTTGCACTAGCAAAATAAGAAAGTGCAGTAACAGGATCAATCGATGCCCAAGTAAGAATAATAGATGTCTAAAAATTTATATTTATTAAAATTTGTTTTTATTTTATATATATATATTCTATTTACTTCACATTGACGATCATTTTCTGATGTAACTGTAAAAATACTTAAAGCATCAGGAATATGTCGAACTTGTAATGGATTAGATTTTACAAGTTGTTGAATTTCACTACGTAAGGAATCTTTTGGAATACTAAAATTTAAAAAGCAAAAAATTCAAACATTTATTTATTTATTTTTTATTTGATTATTTAAAATTTTAAAATTACGCATAATAAAAACTAATAGCTAAATCAGTTGAAATAGACCAAGCTAAACGTCCATATTCTCGCCATGTTTTATTTGAAAAACCATTCATATCATATAATTTCCAATTTCTATATGTTGATTGTATATTTTGATCAATTTGTAGATCAGCACGTCCTAATGGATTATGAAATGTTTCCAAACGTTCAATTTCATAAGCCTTTAAAATAAAGAACTTAATTTTAATAACTATTTAATAAAAAAATTCAATTTAACTTACAAGTAATGTAAGAAGTAGATTACGTTTTTTAAGTAAATCTCGAGATAATAGTCGTGTACCCTGAGTTTTATCAGTATATTTTGCTGATCCAGCTAATGAAAAAAAAAAGCAAACACAAATTAGAATACTTTGTTTTTTTTTCAAAAACAAATATTTCAATAAAGTAAAGCAATAATTTACAAAGTTAAATGGGCATTTAAGCATAACTACCTACCTCGTAAAGATGATTCACGATGGATAGCTTAGTAAATAAAGAAAAAAACAAAAAATATCAATGCAATTTATCATAATGGAATTTTCCTAAGTGCAAATCATTGCTGAAACATTAACTTTCGACTTTAAATTCAGCTTATAGACACATTTCATTTAAATGTTAATAAACCTTCGTTCGTAGGCTATTATAGATGCAAAATCTTTTCAGCTTGTCGTAGTGTCTCCTCGAAATCTACTCGTAGCCATAATATGAAGTCGAATGATATCCAATAATTGAGTATGTTTACTCGTCAGAACATTTAAGCTCATATTTTCCTGATAAGTAAGACTACATAGCTTTAATTATGAAAAAGTTTCATGATGTTTAGAAGTCTGTACAATCCTATCTCTCATATATCTATACTAAATACTTAAATTAAATCATTACCAGATTTTCGACTGAGTGTCGATTGTCCACCAACACCAGCAACAACTCCACCACCACCAGCTAATGAATTAATCCATCCTGTTGGTGCTCCAGTTCTTGATGAACTATCACTTCTATCATAAATATAGTTTCCATTTGTTATTACATTATCTATATCAGCTAAATAAAGACAAAAAAAACTTAGAACTCTTAATGATGAATAATAAAAATAACCTGTTATGTTTGTATCATTACAAAATTTTTTTTCACCATGAACTAATGAAAAAAATCGAATTAATCTACGAATATCATTTCGTAATTCATTTTGTGATTGAGTTGGACAATGATGACGAACACTATTATATTCAAATTTTTTTTTTGTTTCTTTTTAATCAAACAAATAAAAACGTTATTTTTTTTTTACTTACGTAAAATAATCAAATGCTGTATGATAAACTTTTTCTCGAAGTAAATATTTACTTATACCATTAGCTAAATAATCACTTTGTACAAGATAAAGTGCAAGATATAAAATTCGAAAACGAAGACCAACAGCACTAATATGTTTTGTCATTGGTGCTCGAGGATTTTCTAATATTAATGAAAGTGATTTATGTAATAAATCAACAAGCATTTCCATTTCAATATCAGCTTTATGCATACATAAATAAACACGTTCTTCAATAAACTATTATATACAAAAAAAAGTCATAATAACAATATTACAAAAAAGAAATAATAAATGATTACTTTAAAAAATAGTCGATGTGGATTAACAGATGGTGGTCTTGGTTTTAATTCTTCTTTTTCTGATGGTGCAAGTGGAGATGGTTCTGGTTTATCAATTGAATATAAACCTTGACGATCACTAATAACTTTCTCCCAAACTTTATATATTTCTTCAACAATCTATATATTTGAATTAAATATATTTTATTCAAAAAAAAAAAAAAGAATATAGATAAAATTACTAATAATTCAAGTTCAGGTCGACCAACTATTGCCCAAGACCAACAATCTACAGCAGCTTCCATTACAGATGTTGTAAACATTTTAACTGGTAACCATGTTAATGAATGAACCATATCTCGATCAAGAACATTTTCTAGAAAAAAAAAAAATCATCCATAATAAATAATTAATTAATTTAATTAAATACCTTTTGGTGTATCATTTCCATAAGGTCTAGTATTCATTGTTGTAAATGTCATTTCATTTTCATTATCATCTATAATTCAATAATTGATTTAAAAAATATTATAAATATTCTAATTCTTACCCATATGATCTATATTATGAATTAACATAGCTGTTAATTTAAAAAGTGCATTACGAAAATCACTATCAACTAAATAAATTGAAATATATATATATATATTAAAAATAAATTCAATGTATTAACTTACAAATAGCAATACGTTCTTCAAAATCTAATGCAATACCTTTATCATTAACAGGTGCAACAATAGACATTCGACGACGACGTTGTTGTAATGATTTAAATTTATCAAGTGAACTCATTCGATTATGAATTGCATGTTCCATATCATCTTTTACTTGTTTTAATGCTGTTCGATAATCATTACGAACAAGTCCTTCAACCTAGGAATTAAAATTTATTAAGAAAATATTTTGTTTGTTTTTTTTTAATAATATTACGTACAAATCCAACAGCTGCATTTCGTTCACTTAATGATATCATATAATCAGCAAAATCTGTTCGATAATATAATTTACTTCCACCAGATCCTGACTAAAATTATTTTTTTTACGAAAAGAAAAAAACATAAAATGAAAATCAATATTAAAAAAAAAATAAATTTACATTAGCATCAACTGTTTTTGAATATGTACTTAAATATTCCCACATAACCTATGTAGATATATATATATATATAAATATGATTATTGAAAAAAATTTAAATTAAAACTTACATGTAAACCTTTATGTTGACGAACAGCATCAGAATTTCTTTTTCCTTGTTCAAGTTTAAACATATATTGCTAAATGAAATAAATTACAAAAATATTTTAATTATATAAATCTTCAGTGAAAAATTTTGTTCGTGTCATTTAGATTAATTCTCATAGCTTAATATTCATGAAAAGATATGTACGAATGATTGAGTCTCAAAAACCTTTAATCTCATTTTATAAAATTTTAATATTTTCTTCACATGACATTCTTTACCAATAAAGTCGTAAACAGTCCAAGATTACCATAGCTTTATCGTACATGTTTAGGCTGGTGCAAAGCTGTACGTTAACACAAATATACCACTGTCACTGGTAGTACGATGCACTAGTAGGTGATACATCATCAACAGGGACGGCTGGGAAAGGGTATCCTTCCCCCTGCTTTGAGAATTCTGGCTCAGATTTTCTCCTAATTTAGAGAGATTATTAAAGAGTTTTCTCCGATTTTAGAAAAGTATAATCGGACGAATGTTTATAAATTTTGAGAAATATTTTAGGCTACTTTCTCCGATTTTTGGATACCTCCCTGTTCTGACCGCTTTGCACCGCCTCTGATCATCATCATTGCATCCCTAGAGTCGGCAAAATTAATTTATTTATTCTCGGTATTCTGTTATAAATATAACCTAGACATTGAATATCTGTTTAGTACTTTTAAATATTTAGGTTTTAGAATAGTTTTAAATTATATTACGTAACATTTCACTAGAACATCATAAGTAGTATCGACTTCAAAAGATTAATTTGGTATGATTGATTAAATGTATGCGTTAAATTTTATGTTAGTAAATCTTGAATACTTACTTGAATACATGATTTAACTAATGTCTGTGATATCATTAAAGCTTGTTCGGTGAACATGCGACCAAAATCAACAAATGCATTGAAAAGTTCCTATTTAATTATATAAAGAGAAAGTTTTTTCAAAAAAAATGTTTTTTTATTTTATGAACAAACCAATCTTTTTTCATGAGTATCAATAAATTGAATAGTATAATTTGTATCTGGTACACGATGATGTGCAATAACTTTATGTAAATTATCTTCACTTAATGAATATGATAGAATATTAATAATATTCATTAAAGTTTCAATTATAACTGGATTACAAAATAAATTTGGAAAACTTTAAATATAATAAAAAAAAAGAAAAAGAAAAAATAGTTGAACTCGATTATTTATTTATTTCTTTTTTGTAATATGTTATAGAAAAGAAACTTACGCATTTTGTGATAATAATGAATGAAGATAACATTTAGCTTCTTCACGTACTTCTGTACGAACATGTGTTCGTTTAACCATAAAAAATTGACATTGAACTTCAAGATTTTTATTTCGTTTAGGACCTTTTGGCTTTAAATTAAAAAATAATTTTTTTAAATACGAATATTAATCTTTTATATTTACCATGTTTTTCATTTCATCAACATAGATATCAAAACATTTTCTTCCTACAGCTGCCATCAATGTCCATAAACCTATAGAATAAAAAGAAGAAAAAAAAAATGTTTATTAAAAAGCAAAGTAGATGTATTTTTTATGTCATCATTACCGTATTTATCTCTAATTAAACCTGGATCTTCGAGATAAGAAAATATACATTGAAATGCCGATGGAACAAGTGAATGACGAACTCTAAATAACAAATTAGCAAATCCACTAGATATGTAACAAAGAAATAGTTCATGGAGAGAATGACGAAGAATATTGCTAAGATATGTATTATGATCTACATGAGAAGTGTTCATACTTCATGAGTTCTGAACTTTTAGCACTGTCAAAAAGTGTAACTTCACTCACAGATCTTTCAAAAGTAGAAAGAAGAAAAAACTCGTACCTTTCCGAGAGTTTAGAACTCATGAAAACTTACTACTGCTAAGTGAATGATTTAAATATCTATTCTATATACTTTCACACTCCTTCTTTTGACTAAAAAAAAACTACTCTTCATAAGTAAATGACTTATTTAGAAGAATTTCTTGTAAGTATATATTTGATAATTTAATCAATTAAATAAAGAAAAATCTATTTTCTATTTAAAATATAATTATTAAAATATTACCGATATGTTTCAAGATAATAAACTGAAAGTGTATAAGCACTTTGTTCAAAACCAAATCTATCAATAAATGCTTTAGCATTAAGATAACTAGAAAATATAGTATTTAATTTTGACTTTAATGCACTATTATCTTCCTATATAAAAAACAAAATAAATTATATTTAAATTTCAATCTTTATTCTTTTTCAATGATGTTTACTTTAGTAACTTGTTCTGGTTTCAATGGCATTGCAGCTTTCAATGGTACATAGGATACACTTTGAGAAACTAATGTTGGAGATTTTGTTGCAATTAATCGAACACAATCATGCCATTCTGTTGGCCATAAACCTCCTTCTGGATCAGCAAATCCATATAAAACACAATAAAACCAAAAACGTTGAAATAAACGAAAAACACGTTCGGACGGATCATTTATCACAGTAATACGTTGCATAACAACAGCAATAATTGGTATTAATACACCAAGACTACCAGCTGTATTTGAAACCTATCAATAGAAATAATAGATAATTTTTAAAATTGATAAAAGATTAATTTACTTTTAAAGCATTTTTAGTTGATTTTTCACTTGCATCTTTTGCACGTAAACCAAGTTGAACAAATAATTCTAGAATACTAGTTAAGAGATTCATTAATTCTATTGTTCCTTGAATATTAGCAGCAACATTTGCTAATACATTGATTACAGCATTTGATGTTTGTCTTAAAAAAATTTTTAAATCAAACAAAAAAGATTCTTTTTTTTTTCTCTCTCTTCAAAATCAACATACTTGTATTTTATTGGCTGTCGACTTGAAGTTGTTGATTGATTTGTATTATCATTAGTTGGAAAAGTAGAATTGATAATTATCTCAGTAAATAATCTAATAATTTCTTCGTAAGTTGCTTGTGGCTAAAGAAAATAACAATATGAAAAACAGTGTTTTTTTTTTTTTTAATCAATAAAATTTGACTTACAAGACTAGAAATAAGCATACAACCAATTTGATTAATAATAAGAATATCAAGTGGTGATGGTGGATCACCAAGACGTTGTTGAAAACGAGCTAAAATTAATGGTTGAGTATGTTGAACATCTTTTAAAGCTATAGCCATATGACCCAATGTAAGAATAGTATTATGAGAAACTAATGATGTTTGTCTAAATGAAATATAAATTAGAATAAGTTGTTTTTTTTTTTTTCTTATTTTTTAAATATTTTCAAACTATTTAATTTAAAGATAAACTTAAAGCAATGATGCATTCAATAATAAAGCAAATTTTTGTAGCTTTTTCATTATCAGTAAAGCATATCAATCATCTATACGATAGAATTCGAATTCATAAACGTCAGAGTTTATTAAGTTTTATTCTTTCTAACACATTTTATTATTATGAACTATGACAAAACTATAAATATTCTATCTAATGGTTATCGTATTGATACCGATCGTTGCTATAAAAGTTTGATGAGCTCAAGGTTATCCACAAAGAAACTCACAAAGCGAGTAGTGTCACATATCCAAGATTTTGGAGATGCCACCGCATCTCCCACAGGAGATGCCGCATCTTCAGCGGGAGACGCGGCACCCACACTCGGGAGATGAGGTCATTCACCACTGGAGATGTAAGATCTCCTTTAGAGAGACGCATCCCCCACACCCACACTCGCATCTCTCGAGCGAGATGCGGCATCTCCCGCAGGAGATGTGGTGGCATCTCCAAAATCTTGGATATGTGACACTGCTGGTCTCGCATAATTAATAGAGATGTGTAGAATTTTCTATTTATTATTTTTAGATTCTTTTATACTACAGTCGATAGGAAATTAAGTGCTATACAGTCATATCGTCAATGTCTGTAGACATAAATTACGTATTTTAAAAGCATAGTAAATTCTAAAAATGATTATTTAGATTTCTTCATTAATTATATAACTATAACTTTGATTACAAAAATCGATCTGATCATAGAAAATCTTCATAATATCTAATTTAATTAGCAACCATTAAAATCATAATGGTTTTACTAAAAGCATCTATATAGTTTTTAAAAGCAATAGAATCATAAGATAAATGAAAATGCATTAAATAATAATCAACATATGCTTTAGAAGTACAAATAGAAAATACAAAATAAAAAGCTGAGTAAACTAGTAAAATAGAAAAATTTTACTAATTTACTCACTTACAATAAATTTTCATATTTTTCTTTATCAATATCTTGTCGTATTGATGTACGATGTTTAAGTGGTGCTGCATCAAGCAGTACAATATTAAACATCCAATGTGAACTGTAAAAATTTATTAGATTATTAATTAAAATAAAATTAATAAATCATATAAAGTTTTTATTATCACAAACAAAAAAAAGCATTTTTCTTACTTATCATTAATATGTCCTGAAGCAAGTCTTGCAGAAAGTTGTGTAAGTAAAGCTTCAACACATTTTGGATCCGAATTTAAACGAATACATAATGATCTATATTAATAATATTTAAATTAATTTATAAGTTTTTTTTTTTTTTCTTTTTTAATAGAAAAAAAAAAACTAACTTGCATATTCCTTCAATAGCTGAATCTCGTAATTTTTCAAATATTTGAAATGCTCGATATTCTTTTGAACTTTTAACATCATCATTCATAAATGAATTCTGTTCTTCTTCATCAAGTTTTTGACTTGTATGTCGATATAATTTAAAAAGTAATGGTGAAGGTTCAGTTAAAAAATCACATAACACTCGAATAGCATATGTTGCTAATGTTTGATATTTATCTGCTAATCGACTTAATATCTTAAATGAAGTTTCTTTTAAAAAAAAAAAGAATTTCAGTTTTTTTTGCTCTTTTACTTCTAACGATGTGATTAATAATGGCATTTGAGCAGCTAATAATTTGATACTTATTGATTCTTGACTGAATTTTTCTGCACATTTTGTACATAATTTTTCGGCTTCTAAAAACAAAAAAAAAAAAACATTAATAAAACAAATCAAATAACAGTTTGAACGAACTAACAAAAATTGACACATCAAAAAGTAGAAGCAGTTTTTTCTTGATAAGAAGTTTTGTGAAATAATCATGTTGTTTCTTTATAAGAAAAATTAGAAGATTCGAAAATTTTGAAAAAAAAAAATCAATGGATATAATTGATAATTGAATAAACAATCAATGATAGTCTTAGAATCTCATTTAGAGATCCAAAGAAAAAAAAAATCTGAAACTTTTAATAAAAGCAGTAAATAAATTTAGAAACTGCATATAGGGCATCTGAAATAAGGAGTCATGTGTTCGACAGAAAAAAAACACTTTAAACAAGATTCTTGTAGTTTTCCATTGAACTATATCAGGTTTGCTTACAATCCTCTTCTCTAACTTGGGCTAATCGAACTGAAATATTGATTTTTTTTTTTGAGATATGTTAAACTAGATCTCAGAGTTGATTAAAAAACTTTTCAAAAATTTTGCTTTCTTTTTTTCATTCATGAGAGTAATTCGTAGATGTCTATTTACAAAATCAGTGTTTTACCATTTAGAACTATAAATTCAAATCAGAAGGTCAAAGATGAAAATAATCGAATTTACATTTGGAAAATACTTCGAACCATTTGCAGTAAAATTTTTAACTCTTTCAGAGAAAGTTAGAGAGATATGATCATATAGAAATCAAAGTTTTCTAGAAAAAACTTTGGTCAAAACTTTTTTTTTTCTTCGATACATGTCTCTTTCTTTTAGATAATCGATCTATAGTAAAAGTTTCAGGTATACGATGATGTGTACTATAGATAAGTTTTTTTTTCTACTTTTTCAAAAATTCTTTTAATGATAATAGACACTACTGAAATAATGCAAGTTTTAATACAATTAAAATTCTTCTGAGAAAATAATGTATTCAAATGTAAATCTTTTCTAAAATGCCTATTCGAATCTGATTATCTTACAACAAACTATATATTTATATTTCGAAAGAGAAATTTTTGATGTATTCTCCTATGACAAAAACACAATTTTAAGTTTTTCTCAAACAAAAAAAAATCAATATTTTGTAATTAACATACATTTGCGAAGAAAATAGTGAGTGTAAGTTTTCGATCGAAATTTCGCATTTCTCTCTATCGCTTCTTCCTATGACAAACGATAGTAAATGCGAGTGAAGGTTTACGCAGGCAACAATAAGAGATTTACAGAGCGTACAGCATTCATTAAAATTTATATTGAATATATGAACTTAATATTTCAGTTCTAAACGGACTGTACTAACTTAACTTTATTTATGGGAGAAGAAATTAAGTACTATCTATAAATGTTACTAATCAGATTTCGAAGAAATTGGTTTGCTTGTGTAAATCACTTATATAGTGTAAGATTCTTGTGACATATTTAGATGATGTATATTTAAGAATTCAGAATCAATTACTATTTGTATTTCAAAAAGCAAAATATATTTCAATCTTGTTTTAATCATATGTGCTAGCCACTCGAATCGATCAAGAAGTTCTAAAAATATTTCATAGAGAATTTCGATTACTTAAAGATAGTTATTGAAATCAATACATTCATCTATGGATCCATACACTATGAAAGAGAAATATTCCGAAGTCGTTCACAAGAAGCTAAAATATATTTGATATTATATATATATATTTTTATAATCATGAATTACAATTTGAAGTAAAATATTATAGGCATAGTAATGCATATAGATATCGTTCTCATAAGTTTGCAATACTAAACATGTGGAAAAATAAAATATGTGGTACTATTGTGATTCATCACTCAATTATTTATACAAAAAAATTGTTTTTGTTTTGTTTATTCATTTCTTTTTTAAATTGTGATAACTACATATTGTGATTAAAGAAGTCATATAAACAACAGTGATAGAACAAAAACTAGTGAACAAACACATTTTTAATAATATACATACTCAAAAATCCTTCATTTTGTCTCTCCAAATCTAAGAGTAGTGATCAGTAGGAAATAGTTTTAAGTATTAAAAAACAAAACATTAGAAATCTAAGTTAATATATATATATATAAATCTAAGAATATGCAGTATCGGTTTACTGACCCATCGACTCCCTGTAATATCTACTGAATAAAATTCAGTGATTCTTGCTCCAATTTTTTTTGTAAGCCGACGAATATTGCTGATGTATTAGAATATATTGCTATCAAATAGGACATATTTTGATAGAGCTAATGTTTCAATATTACAGTGAACATAAATGTCAGTTTAGTCGATGCCGTCGTAAACCCTATATCAGCTATTCACTGTCAGTATTTATACCAACACTGCACATTCCTATATAAATCTATTCGAACATACCGTTTTCATCATCACATGATAAACAGAGTAGTTCTAATGCTGCTGCATTAGCATCTACACGTGTTCGATAACGATGAGAATCTTTTCCATATTCGTCATTATCTAAATCCAATAATTTAATTGTTATTAATTGTTGAACAAATAAATAAGTGGCTTTTGTAACTGACACAAATCGTTCTAGAATAAATAAATAAAAACAAAAAAAAATAATAATAATAATTATCAAAATTCTTCGTTTTTTTTTTTTTTTTGTTTTAAATGAATAAAATATTAAGATTAGTAATTATTCATTCGCAAAACTATAAACCTACTCAAATCATGTTTTCTTTGTCTTTCTAAATAAAATCTTTTGTAGTGTTTTATTTTTCATTCTATTGAGTCAATAAAATTCAACATACCAGTAGATTTACTAAGTAATTCAAGATTATCACGAAAGAATTTAATAATACATAAAATGAGAACATCACCAAAATATGCATAAGGAAAATAACGTTTTGACTAAAAATAAAACAAAAAAAAAAAAAGTTCTTGTTTTATCTATAATAGTTTAATAGAACACTTACATAAGATTGAGAGGGATTGTGTCGATGAATTGAATCATATTCAGCACTGGCTGCTTTATCCAAAAATCTAACAACACGATTATCGATTAATTGAAATGTCTAAAATTATATTTTTGTATACAATATATAAACAAAAAAAAAACGAATAAAATTTACCTCATGTACATGTTCTAACATAGAAGGAGTAACACAAATACGAAAACGTGAAGAGATTACATTTGATAATGATGAAGATCTTCGACGATGATGATAAGTAGAACCAGAGACAGAAAAAAATAAAGAATTCATTCGAAGATCATCTTTCCATGTGCACGAATCACTATCTTCTACTGAGCTAAAAAAAAAAATAAAAAAAATTTCAATTTAGAATCATAGCTAAAGATATATTTGATTGAATTTAGCCAAAATCAATCATATCATTGAGTTATTTAGTTAGTACTAATAATGAAACGTATTTCTTCGTTACTTTAGTTCTCATTATTACAGAATAAGAACTATAGGTAGATATTTTTCTATTCAAAAATCGAAGTACTTATTGGAAAGAATTCAAATTAACAGTTTCATCATGTATTTTACTAAAAAAAACACTTTTACAATGTCATCTATAATCAAAATTTATCTCAAAACCGAGATTGATTTAGGTTTTATGGAGAAGATACAACAATTTAATCAGAGTACATTGAAAATGATTCAATTCTATCTGTTTAACAGATTTTAAAAATATTCATTCAATTTGATATAATACGCCATGATGAAAACAGTTTCTAAAAGAATCATCGGTTTAGCACATATAATATCGATCGATTTACTGGTGATAAGTTCTCGTTAGTTTTTTTTTCTTACAAGTATTACAAACTACACCTCTAGACAGAAGACTGGTACGACTTAGAGTTCTTCTGCTCAATCTTTTGAGCTTCTCGCATACACATATTAGTCACAATAGTCACTCTACTTTTACAACGTAGTCAATAAGTTATATAATTATGAAATCAGTGAATTACTGAAATAGTTCGTTAGTGATGAATCATGTTTGTTAATATAGTGTAATTTACAATTTTCTTTTTCTTCTTTTCTTTGTTTCCTTGTACCATGTAACACAAATGCTATATGTATGTACTCTGATTTGAGCTAAAGACCTTGTCAAGGAAAAAACAAAAAGAAGCCAAAAATTTCATAATGTTGATGAAGGAGAAACATCAATTCGAAATCAAGGGCAAAATATAATACGACAAAACTTAGCATGATGGATTTTAGTTTAGAGCAAATATTTATCTTTTTATATCATAGACAGACAGTCAAACAAGTTATGATTTATATAACTAAAAGTGAACATGATGATCATCAGAGCGTATAGGTATGAATGAAATGAAAACAAATACATACATTCACATCATATGATATACAGGTAACAAAGCGTTGTACTGATAAAATCTATACTTATCATTGACCTTATCTAAATATTGCGTTGATCAAATTTGTATTTATTACTGTGTATTATATAAAATAAATTGATCTTTTTGTAAATCAATACTGACAAGTCAAGTACTGATCATAACATCTGAATATTTAAATTACAAACTTTAATCCTAACATCGTCTTGTAAACTTTATAAAATAATTAGTGATAAGCAAAATTATGTTGTCTTTCTTAATAATATTGATGTTTACATATTATTAAAAAGCAACAACAAAAAAAAAAAAAACATTTTTTCTCTTATGACATATTGTAAAACAAAAAAACTATGTTTTTTTTTTCAAAATTATTAATCTATTGAATATAATCAATCATCAAAGAGGAAAAAAGAAAGCTAATCGAACTTCTTTTTTTATTTTTATTTTAATGACAATTGTATATACATACTTTGATTGATATAAAAAATGTCTATGAGAAAAAAATTTTTAACCTTCAAAAAAAAAACAAAATAAAATACTTACGAAAGAGATCGAATTGTTGATGAATAATCATGTTGATCTCCATTATATATTGAATTATTTGTATTTAAATATAAAAGTTGTGGCATACTATCATTAGTTGTTGAAAGAACACTTCTTGATAAAACTTTTGATATAATTGGACGAAATGTAATTGTACTATTTTTAATATTAGTTAATGATTTATTTGTTAATTGTTTTTGTTCAATATAAATCGATTGTGTTGATGAATTAAAATTTATTGAAAATAATTGAGATATTAAACTTTGCTCGGTTATAGATATTCTAAATAAAATTATTAATAGACGTTTTGTTTTTTTTTCAAAACAGCTAATTATAAAATCACTGTTAAGATTATCTGTGAAACATAAATAGTATCTTGCATTTTTGAGAATGTTTATCAAATTCACTCGAAAGATTCCATTGAAATTAAAAGAATGTTTTCAATTGATCAATTACGTATGCATTTGTATCTTATACATCGAATAAATTCCAGTGAAATATAAAGAAAATCTTAAAAGGATAAATTTCCTAGACATTTCATTCAAGATTTCGCTAGAATTTTAGCTTCTATTATGGTATATACCAACAAATCGAATGATGTTTTGTTTTTCTTTTTTATCTGAGACTTTGTTCACAGACATATCTATTCGTCAATAGAATGCTCTGGATATGATTGATCTCTAGATGCCCATGTCCTTTGAATCGGCTAAAAATTGCCGATTAATCCCGATTCATCGAAACGATAATCGTGAGCTGAATCGCGATAGAATCGCCGATTATTTCAGCGATTTTTACGATAAATCGTGATTTTATGCAAGATTTAACCGTTTGTTTACTGATATTTTCTACTATTTCATTGGTTCTTTTGGAGACACATATTTGGATTTTTTCTTGAATTTAATTCAATTTTTTTTGTTCTCAAGATCCAAGCCGATCAGATCGTGCGATCTGTCCGATTCTTATCAGACCGCTTCAGTGTAGTCCTCTCCAGATCATTGATCGGGATTGACATTTACTTGATTAAAAACAACCAAGAAATAATTTATCAGAAAAGTATATTTCGAAAACTTATTTGTTATGCATTGAACGGCGTTGTTTATATATCCGTGTGTGTTCATAACAAAAAGGTGAATGAATAATTGTCATGATTTATCAATGATTTTTGAAAATCAGCTCTTCTCCCATAATCGCGATAAAATCTGATATAATCGTCGAACTTTTAAAGAAATACGATAAATCACGATTTTACGCCAATTTTTTAGAAAATCGCGGTGATTCTCACGACATGGGTGATTAATATCTTGAAAATGAAATAGTTTTTTGAATTGAAATTTTTGAAAACATTCTTTTGACAAATAGATTTCTTTAGGTAACGAAACACGATCATTCGATTTATTTGTATATTAGAGGCTAATCGGACAAAATGTTTATAATTCTGGATAGAAGGTCTAAGGAGACTGAACCTTTTGAGATTTTTTTTTCTATATGTGTTACTGTAATCTACCTTAGGCACAAAATTTCAATTCAACGACTATTAATTAATTGAAAACGTTTTCTCTGGAGTACAAAAATGTTGAACATGACCGCGTGCCTCTACTCAGTAATCTTTAACAGTTAATAATAAGAATAATACAAGCATAATCAAGAAATAAATAGGTCAATAGCTGATTAAAGATCTTCATTTTGTTTAGACGAATTTAATAATTTTATAGCACAATAAATATAAAAATAGTTTACCTTCCAATTGATCGTAATGCTCCAAATAAAAATGGTACTTCATATCGATAGATCGATTGATATCTCTCTAGAATTTAAATAAAAAATAAAAAAAAAAACTTCTTTCAATTAAATTACCTTTTGCATGACTATGAGCAGCTTTACGTAAACTTTCAACAATCTTTCGAATAATATCCGCAATAAGAAGCATAATCTGATAAAGAATAATATTATTTTTATGTATAAATTTCATTGATCCTTACATTATCTCTTGTTTTTGTATCATCTGATGTTGATGCAAGTTCTGTTAAAGCTGTATGAAGACAAAAACTAAATACTTCTGCTGGAGGTAATGCTATGAAAAGAAAATATTAAACATTATCATAAGTTTATTAGTTTAATTCTTTTAATTTTTTTTTCTACCATATTTATAATTATATGAAGCTATTTCATAATATCTTGCTGTTGGTATTTTTTGATAAAAATCAAGTAAAACTTTAATAATATCTTTACGAATCTTTGATAAAAATAAAATACAAAATGAAGTTAAAAAAACAAAAATGTCATAGAAATTATATATATATATACTTTGCATCTATCATTAAGTTCAACAGCTAAATAAGCTAAAGCAATAATATTATTTTCTAAACGTTGATCAATTAAAAGTTTATGATCCGATTCAATACGATCACGAATTTGTTTTAATAATACATTAAGTAACAATGAAGAACGCTACATAATAATAAAAAATATAATATTTAATTGACGAAACGAAAAAAAAAAAAAGAAAACGAAAAAGAATTTCTTTTTGTATACTTTATTATGTGATAATAATTGATCAGGATCATTTGATTTTGATATTGAACGTACAAATGACAAAAGAATATTAATATGATTTGTCTCAAGAAACATTCTTCTTCTATCAATTTAAATTAGTTCATCACTATGAAAACGACATTTTTACCATGAATTGCTGCTTGACGTTAGTAACCAATAAGAAAAAAATACTTTTTTTTACTTGATGAAACTACTTAAACATCAACTAGTGATATCTATGAATTAATTATAAATCACTTGTATCATCAACAAGCCAAGTGTATTTTCTAATCGATAAATCGTATTGTAAACGTTCTTTTCTTCGGAAGATGTGTCTCTCAATCAAATTACTATTGTTATTTAACATGCTTTGTGAATCGAAACGGAAATATAGAGAAAAGCACTTGTTTTAAATAATCTTGTTCTATTATATTGTCATTTTTTCCTCTTCATAGAAATCTCGGAAATAAAACCTACGAGTAAAATAACGAATTGTAAAGCCGGCTGACGCCAACTAATATGCGCAAGAACACAATCAACAAAATACGTGATATGACATTTTTAATGATTTTTGAAACATTTCTATTTCTTTTTTTTTTTATTTATTTACATAATAAAGAGTAGGACAAAAAAAAATATGTCGAATTGTGTAAACGTGTCTATTTTTATGAGAGACCAATCATGTAAAAATACAGAATATGAAGTATTCTACTAATTGTTGTCTATTAAAAATAAAAATAAAAAAACCTGACTCTACATAATAGGTTTTCCTGTAAACATTGAAAGCACACTTGTGTATATATATATGTAAATAAAAACGTATAGAATTTGTTATTATGAATAGAAAGCAAAACTTTTTTTGTGACTTATAGGTTATACTATTAGCTATGTTTGTTATAGGAAATTTGTCACTATTACTGTTACTAAGTATGATATACTTCAATCAGTCATCAGTCCGTTGACTGGTATTATTTTTTTTTAGATCTGTCATGACATAAGTAGAATTACTTAACAATAAATCATAATTTACTCAAAGTTTGTTTATTTGTTTTATCTTTTGTATAAGTAATGTTCTTCTATATGTTAGTTTTAGGATTATTCTGTTTTTTTTAATATTCGCAGGTAAATTTATATCGACAAGTAGTAGATATATTTATTTTGATAATAAATTACAAAGAAAAAAAAATAGAAGAAGAAGAAGAATAATAATAATAAAGAATCTTGACGACAAAAATCATCTATAGTATAGAGCAAAAAAAAAAACAGGCATTTTCTTCTTTTTGTTTTCTTCTTATCCATGTTGTATTTTTACGCATATATAAACCTATCAGAAGTCAAAAAAAATGACACTAATTAATTACTTTTTATGTAATATATATATATCCATATAGTATTTTTGTCTTTTGTTTCATAGAACAAAAATAAATATCTATTATCAATAATGTTATCTTCTAAAAATATAAAAAAAGATTAATCACTAACATTTATAGTATTTTATTGTTCTCAATAAAAACTTAATTATTATTATTATTTTTTTGTTGTTGTTATCAATGCCGTTTAACTCAACATCATCATCTTATCTACAACAAAATCGTATTCATTCAATTGTAACAACAACAAGTATACATTTAACTACACTATTAACACAAACATTTTTTTCCATAAGTGATATATATGATCCTCGTATAACACGACCATTTGCATTAATTTGTTTATTTATTGGTAGTATTGGTAATTCATTATCATTTATTGTATTTACACAAAAACAATTACGTACACATTCAACATTTCGATATTTAGCTTATTTATCAATTGTTGATTTAATTGTACTTTATTTAGGTTTAGGAAATATTATATTACGTGATTATTTTCTATTTGATATACGAGAACAAAATTTATTTCTTTGTAAATTTCATACATTTCTAACATATGTTACAACACATTTATCATCATGGATATTAACGATTGTTTCAATTGATCGTGCTATTGCATGTACTGTTGTTCAATTAAATAAACGTTTTTGTCGTGCTAAATCAGCCGATAGAATATTTTTAACTATGTGTTTAACTATATTATTATTAAATAGTCATATATTATTATTTATGGGTTCAAAACGACGTATTCTTATATCATCTATTAATAATATATCATCATATAAAGATATTATTATATGTACACATAATACATCAAAAATTTATTTTCAATTTTTTGAAAAACCATATAATATAATTGATCTTTTCTCTTATGTACTTATTCCATTTGTTATAATGACTATATGTGCTATTATTATTGCATATCGTTTATTTTTTTCATTAAGTAATACAACTATGAATAAAAGAAATAAAGGTAAAACACGTAAAGGAACACGTCGTGCAAAACAAATATCTTATATGTTATTTACATTAAATCTTGTTTTTATTCTATTACTTGCACCAATTGTTATTGGACAAATATTTCAAGAACTTAATCAAGAACATCGATATCGTCTATTTAATTCTATTACATTATTATTATCATATACAAATCATGCATTAAATTTTGTTCTTTATGGTGTCGCATCACCACAATTTCGTTTAACATTAAGACAATTATTAGGCATCTCAAATGATGTTACAACACAAAGACGTATACAGACACTTGGTGCTTTTACTTCAACGGGTTTTTAAAAAAAAAAAACGAGAAAAAGAAATTCTTGTCTTTTTTGTTCAATAAATCATATAAAATTTATCCATTTTCGACACTACTCTCATTCAATGCATTTTATTAACGATTGTTTGTATATGTTTATATTTTTTTCGAAAAACTTTATTAATAACATTATCCGAATTCTTTCTACAAACTTCGTCAGAAGAAAAAATGTCGTTCACAGTTACGTCACTAGATTTCTATTTTCTCGATCAATATATTTCATTGTTGACTTGTTTTCATTCCAATAGTTATTTAAAAAACAGAAATCTCATGGTATATATTCGTGTTCAGCGTCGAGCATTCCCTCAAAAAAAAAACTGCTAGTAAATATTCTCAAGAGGTTAGCTAAGAGATTCAACGGCGTCAGTCATCCGTCTGTCAAAAAATAGATCCGAACAATAACCTTTTGTCGATATTTTTTTTCTTTCACTATGATTAGATTGTGCGAAACTAAATATATATATATATATAGATATGTAGAAATCATTAAGGAATATAAGTTGTATTAGTTGAAATTTTATTTTGGCTGACATCGAACGATAGAAATATTATTTTTCGGGTGACTGTAGCAATAGGAAAGAGAAGTCAAATTGATACATGTCGTTTATGCATTATAAGAGAATCTGAAAATATTAGTCTACCCATGATTTCTGGCAATTCAATCAATAATATATAGTCCTGCAATTTTGTTTAGCTAGATTCGAGTCTATCTTTTGACGATATATGAATAACGCCGTCAAATCTCTTAGCTAACCTCTTGAGAATATTTACTATCGGTTTTTTCAAGGGAACTCTCGATGCTGAACACGAATATATACTATAAAACTTCTATTGTAAATAACCATTGTAATGAAAACGAGTCAAGAATGGAATATAGTGATTTAAAATTTGATCCCTAACAAATGAATCACGAAAGACATTATAATGAAGCTTATTATAACAATTTTTGTTTCTGCTGAAGCTTGTAGAAATAATAAGTTTCTAGATTATGAAAATTTGTTTATCATAGATAATAAATATGTTTAGTCATTTTATTAGAGAAAAAGAAATTTGCATTTATTCGTATGAATAAATATAAGAAACCTATGAAGTACATGAAAATCTAAGACAACGCTTATGTGTTATATGAAAATCAATGTAAACAGTTACATTAAGTAAACAAAAGTCTGCAGAAAAATGCGAACATATACGTTTATTATAGAAGAACAATTTCTGAAGAGTAGCTGGTTATGCTCTGATTCGATGAGATCATTAATCATTTTTAATTATAATCCATAATCATAGATATACATGTAAAATGTTAGTTTACTCATCGATCTTTTTTGGATATTAGTTAATTTCATTATTCATTAACTTCAATATCTTTCTAAATAATTTTACAAGTCATACAAAATGAAAAATAATATATGATATTATTTATCAAACGGAATCTGAATTAGCAGACTGTATACTTTTTGTATCTTATGATTCTTATTTCATGTTAACTTTTTAACTAAGTACAGAATAGCTTGACATATAATGCTATTATTGTCAACGAAAATGGAGTATTATAAAAAGAAATGTTCTACATCATTACAGTATATGAAAAAAGTCTGTGCCGATTTTTAAACAATTTTTTACATGACTGAATGATATTCTGTCAACATTTCATATTACAGCGCGAATGTTAGATGTCAATCAAGCTGATCCAATAAAATTAAGCCACATAATTATTGCTTGTCAACTACACAATGAAATATAAAATATCAAGGGAATGCTTTTCCTAAATAACAAAACAAAAATTCTTCCATATTTTAAGATAAGTTATTCATTGGCATGTATTTTTTTTAAGCATAATCTTATTATATTAATTCAGTTAGTAATACTCTGTGACACCTTCTCTAATAAAGATAAACAAAGATCTTATTTAAATATAATAGAAATAACAAAATCTTTTATAATCTGCTATTGTACATAAAGAAGTTGAGTCTTAAGATTGACAATTTCAAATTCATGAAATGGAAATGTAGGTGAAATAATTACTCATCACATGGGAAACAAAAAAAAGAAACTTACTTTATCATTTATATTTACATGCATGTAGAATTTCAATCCATAGATTAAGACTTTCGATCAAAATTAAAATAACTAGGACATTTTTGTTAATATACACAGCACCAAAATAAAAAAAACGCCAACAAATAACATGCATTGCAAAGGAAATGGAAAAAAATGTCAAACTCTGTTCGATTATATTGCCGACTTCTATGTAATCAAATATGTTTTTTGTTGGAAAGAAAAATGTCTGACCTACAGACTTGAGATGAAGGAAAAGCCGAAAACTAAGCAGTTCTAAACAAAAAATTCTTGTAACTTTACTATCAAGCAGGATTAACGAAAAACTTTTCTCTGATGTTCTATTTTGACTG